GTTTATTTTGGTACGCTACGTTGAGGCTTTTATTGTGAAGGTTCCTCCCGGGGCTCCTGTCAGCGGGAGCAGCAGCGGAGCAGCTGTTTGGGCCGAACTCTGCTGTCCAGCCTCAGATGTCACGCACTTCTCGCAGCGTTTCGAGCTGACCGCTGAACGGTTCTGACCCGGCTCCAGTCCCTGCTGTCCTGTAGCCGTTAGCTTAGCTGCGTTAGTGGTCGGTGGACGCAGGATGGTTCTGTCCACATCACAACAAGTCGCTCTGGCTTTCACGGCCGTGCTCTTCACGTTCGTCGTCCTGCCGAGGCTGTTCGGTGTCGGCGGGGGCTCCGCGGCCAAGGACGCTAAATTCGACCCTCGCTACACCAGAAAAGGTAAGAAATGTGTGTGTTTGCGCTCCAACATGGCTCCTGGTCCCGGTTAGCTTGTCTGGTTCCGTTCGTACTGTTGGTACTAGCTGTCGCGTGCGCTGGCTAGCTGCCCCAAAATAACAGTCATGACCCAACAACCTGCATGTTATTGTTATTATTATTAGTAATATAATCATGTACAGCTCATGTTTAAGGACACTGCAGAGCAAATCAAACCCTCTGTTAAAGCTACAACCCGCTCTCGAGCCCAGTCAGCACTGGATGATCCAGCAGAGTCCAGTCCACATCAGCACCGCAGCAGGTCAGGATCATGGTTTGGACCCCGTCTACACTTCTGTGTGTATCTAATGTACTTTTTTTTACCTCCAAATCATCACTACTTGGCTCAGACTGTGTCTCATATCTGGCAAAGCCCTCAGAGAACAGCTGTGGCTCATCTGTTGCCTTGTGTCAAACTAACAGGGACCCAGTAGATGATGAAGACTATCTGCCCCCTGCACTGGACAGTAGGCCACATAGGGGATGAATTCATGAAGAAATATTAGAGACTTTTAATATATCCACATAGTTTTAGTATTGCTTTTCAGATTACATTAAGTTTTTTACTTTTAGAATTTACAAATTTTAATTTCTGCAAGGTGGTTCAGTGGGTAGCACCGTTGCCTCGCAGCTAGAAGGTCGCCGGTTCAAGTCCCGGTGAGGACACCTGGGATCTTTCTGTGTGGAGTCTCCATGTTCTCCCCGTGCAGTGTGGGTTCTCTCCGGGTTCTCCGGCTTCCTCCCACAGTCCAGAAACATGTTGAGGTTAATTGGTGATTCTAAATTGTCCGTAGGTGTGAATGTGAGTGTGCTTGGTTGTCTGTCTCTAAGTGTAGCCCTGTGATAGACTGGTGACCTGTCCAGGTGAACCTGCCTTCACCCTGAGTCAGCTGGGATAGACTCCAGCCCCCCATGACCCTAATGAGGATTAAGTGGTGTATAGATGATGGATGGATGTTTTAATTTAATCAAAAGTTCAAGTAAAAAGACACGATTTTTATGCATTATTACACATAGTTTCATATTTTTGTCTGACAAAGACACTAAAGCTTAAGCTATTTAAACTAGATGGTAACTAAATCCTGTCCGTACTGGTGCATCTTATGATCTCTCTCATTACTGTGTAAGAATTTTAAAATGCCATCAAAAGTGTGAATCATAAAGCCATCGACACAGGATTTTAAACTCTGGGTAGGACGTGCTGCTGAACAGACAAGGTGTGGCTGGTACATCGTCAGACGGGGCTTTCATCAGTCAGACGAAATAAATGCAGTAAATATTGACAGAATTGTGAGAATAAACAACCCTGAAAGTTTCAATCTGTTAAAATTAAATAAAATGTGAATTAGAGCTTTATTTAACAGCCACACGAGTTGCTGTTTGTTTCAAATTGCAAGTTTGATATGAAATTGACTCGTAGTTGAGCCGTGTTTCCTTTACTGATACCTGCTGGATCCGTAACGAATTAATACAACGCTGATGTTATTACCACCTGTTAATAGTGTAGCTGATGTGTTTTTTAGTGTTGGGAAATAATATTCTCTTTATATCCCATAATATACCCTCACTGAGCACGCAATGAAGAAAGCTTGTGGCAGCAGTGACCAGATACAGATCATATGAGTGAGAAAAATGAGAAAAAAATGGGACCTCTGTGACTTTTACTGAAGCACGATTGTCATAAAGGCTGGTTTGAGTATTTCTGAAACTTCTGATCTTCTTGGATTTTTACTACAACAGTCTCTAGAGTTTTCCTAGAAAGCACAGTGAACGGCAGAATGTTGTTATTATTTCAGAGAATAATAATAATAATAATAATAATAGATCAGATTTATATAGCGCTTTTCTGGACACTCAAAGACGTTTTACACTGTCAGTTATTCATTCACACACATTCATTCTGGTGGTGGTAGCTATGATTGTAGCCACAGCTGCCCCGGGGCAGACTGACAGAGGCGTGGCTGCCATCCTGCCCTCCGACCACCACCTCAAACAATCCATTCATACGCATTCACACCAGGCAAGGTGGTGAAGTGTGTTGCCCAAGGACACAACGACCATGAAACAGGTTACAGGGCGGAATCGAACCGCCGACCTTCCGATCATCGACCAACCAGCTCTACCACCTGAACCACAGCCGCCCGAGAAGTCACTACGAGGCTCATCCAAACAGTTGATGGTGAAAATAGAAAACCATAGTCTGACCTGCTGAATCTAGACTTCTGCTGAGGCTCACAATCTCAGTCCAGCTGCTTTTGGTGTGACGCTGTGGGAACGTTTTCTTGCTCCTTCAAACTAACAGTCGTTGTTTGAAGTCAAAGCCTGTGTGCGTCTTGTTGCAGGCTGTGTTCATCTCTCTATGGCCACAGTTCACCATCGTCTAATGACTGCTTTCAGCAGGATAATGCACTGTGTCGCAAAGCAAAAACCATCTCCAGCTGATTTCATAAACACAATGAGTTCTGTTGTCTTAAGTGGCTTCCCCACTGGGAAGGCTGCAGTTTGTGTTTCCACTTATCATTACACAGGCTCTAATCTTATTCTGTGCTGAAGTGATGACATAACAATGAAGCACCACTGTCCTGCTTCTTGTATTTGTGACAGCAGGTCCAGGCCCGGGCGCAGTCAGAGGTCAGCCCATCAATGTGAACGCCCCGGGCTCACATCAGACCCCTGAGAACATCCAGCAGATGAAGAAACGGATGGAGCAAGAGCTGAAGAGTGACAAGTACAAATCCAACAGCAACAAGGGCTACGTGTTCACGCTGATGCCTCTTTACGCCATCGGGGTCGGAGTGTTCGCAGCGTACAAGTTTTTGAAGGTAAATATACACGCAGTACCGAATTCCATGGATGAAATTTAGAAATGTGAACGACAGTCACTCACTTTGTCCATCTTACAGATCAAGTCTGCAGATGACAAGGCGCAGAAGGACAAATTTGCAAAAGGGGCCAAAAAATCAGTGGAGGCAGGTGTGTTTGGCGTGTTTGTTTGTCTGTGTGGTCTTCAGTCATGCATATTTGGTGACCATGAGTAATTCAGATACGGGGTTTTTAATCACCTTTTGTATGTGTTTGTTTTAATTCAGAGAACCAGTTGAATGAACTGGAACAAAGGCTGGCACAGACAGAAAGGATGCTCAACTCCATCCTCACCCAGCTGGACCCACTCACTAACTGGTGAGCCATGATCCGTGTCACTTTGCACACACTGCGGTCTCCAGGTGTGCGCCACACCTTATCTTCTCACTCTGTGTACACAGTTTGGGTTTTGAAACTTGATCCTCGCCCTTTTCAGCAGACATGCATCGTAGATTCACCAGCAGGTTATTCTGTTTTTTATTGTTAGATTTTGTGAGCGGTCCTGAAATGTGTAGGGTGCAGGAAAAAGCACTGATTAATAGTTTTTGTGCTTAATCAAATGAAAAGACTTCTGATCTTCTCATATGTGTTTGCCCAAATGTTCAACTATTCCTTTAGTAAGTATATGTCATACGTTGATGGAGATATTACTCATGTTCAGTGTGAATAAACATTCATAGATCTACTTGGAAATCATAAAAGAACTCATTATAGCTCAAGAACTAGACAGAGAATCAAGTTTTCAGGATTTTTCAGTATCAAAGTAACAGAAAGTGAAATTTTTTAGAGCACCTGACTTATGTGCTGATGCGCTTTACCTGCACAACCGATGTAAAAAGTTAGTCTGATGTGGTAGAATTTTTTTTTCTCCTCCAGTTAAAGAGCAGCGTTCTTCCCACATCCTCTGAGCAGCTTCTCCATCTTCAGCCTGATGGGATTTACTGCTTTTGTTTCTCTGCAGTGTGAAGTCAGTGGCTCAGGACCAGAAGAACGAGATCATGTCTCAACTCCAAACCATCCGGTACCTGATGAAGAAGAGAGGAATGGACTGTCCACCCCTGAACATCAACGGTGGGCTCAGTGTTTTTGACTGTGATTGACTGCTGCCTAATCCAGCTCACTTTTCACATTTGAATTTAGGAGTTTAGAATTTAGTTCTCTGGTTCAACCCAGTGAAGTTCGGTGTCGTGAACCTTTAGTAGTGATGCTGATATTTATACGCACAAGATGACTGCAGGCCAGCATCGTTGTCTTGTTGCATTTAACCACAATTTGAAATTCACCTCCGTCAGCCACACTGAGGCACGTCTGTGGAGATGTGTTTTGCATCTGATTTTACACTTGTGAATGTGGTTGAGGTCACATTCGCACAATGATCAGACTACAAACTTTCTTTGAGCAGTGTCTGATTAAAGTACAAAAACATGAGGAGCTTTTTCTGTGAGGCCTGAGGTTTGGTAACCTGAGCTGTATTAAAACCAGTTTGGTTGATGCTGAGCAAACTACTCAGAAAAGTTTTTGCCTTCAGCGAAACAAAACCTGATGTGACATTTTATGATGAGGATGAAAACCTGAGAACTTTCCCAGGAGCACGTACACATTTGCATACTGTCCACAGCATGCTGCTGAAGTTACAGTGAAAGCGTGTCTGAACATCTGAACCGCAGAATGTGATTTATTTTTACTGTTGATGGAGTCAAACATGTGGAGATGTGCTGAAATTGTAGTGACTTGCGATGCCACTTACTTCCATTCTTAATCAATACCGTGTAAAACCCAGGCTGCTAAAGCTAATGCTAACATCGATACTATAACCTTTTGTGTACAAAACCTTCATGTGTTCAGGACAGCAGAAAAAAAAAACTAGCCTATACAGATGTCCTTCTCCAGCCAGTGTTGCTGCTCTTTGAGAATGATCTAAAAATGAAATCAGGGAATCAGTCAAATCCATCATCTATACACCGCTTAATCCTCACTAGGGTCATGGGGGGCTGGAGTCTATCCCAGCTGACTCAGGGTGAAGGCAGGGGACACTTAGAATCACCAATTAACCTCAACATGTTTTTGGACTGTGTGTGAGGAAGCCGGAGAACCCGGAGAGAACCCACGAGAACATGCAAACTCCACGCAGAAAGATCCCGGGTGTCCTCACCGGGTCACGAACCGGCGACTTTCTAGCTGCGAGGCAACAGTGCTACCCACTGATGCACCTTGCAGCCCACTTAAACACATAATGAAACCAATGAATTCCATCATAAATCTCTGCAGTCGTCTGTCTGTCGGCACACACGAGTCTCTGTCAGTGAACACTGGCTGCTCAACAGGCATCATTTAGTAAGTCTGCTGCTTGTAGAATAAATAACTTAAAATACATACAAAAGTAATTCATATTTAAAGGATACTGATACTAAAACAACCATGTTAGCATCACTGGCTTTGAAAGTAATAATGTCACTGAAACATAATTTAATTTATGTGATATGATCCTAAAGACACAAATTTTACTGTGAGCTGAACTCAGAGGTTGCAGCCCTGATGGTTTTAAAGGTATTTACTACTTATTTCATGCCTTTTTCTTTTATTTCCCAGGTACATTAATATGACTTTGAATACAATATCATCTGCAGTTTGGACTCACACACTGAAGCCTGGATGCTCATGATGACTTTCCCATGGTCACTGATAAACATTTCTATACCTGTACTCTGTCTCTGCCTGCTAATGTCTGTCTCTCCTCAGCAGCTTCTTTCTTCCTGAAGAGTTGCAGCTCACATGTGACTATGAGGACAAGTAGTTCCTATCAGCTGTGTGCTGGACTAGTTCATTTCTGCTGCGTCCTCTGTTGATGATATTTGAGATTTTGTCTAAATACCATCTTTTAGTAAGAAGCGTCATCATATGTCATCTTCTGTCTTTCAGAATCATCCTGTGAGCGTAATCTGGACGACCTCATCGAGTCCCTCGGGGCCAGCGACACTACAGCGGACAAGCAGTCCTCTGCAGAACCCAGCGTGGCGTCTGAAAAAGTCTACGAAAAGCGTTCAGAAGCTAAAGATGACGCGGCAGCAGAGGGCGAGGAGATGAAGGAGCTCAGACCAGAAGAATCCGACGGGGAAACGGCGATCGAAGAAGAGGAGGAGGTGGAGGCAGAGGAGGAGGATGAGAGAGCAGCAGAGGAGGAGGAGGAGGAGGAAGGATCGGAGCACTCGGAGCTCATGCAGTCTCTAGAAGACTCAGCTGAGACAAACATTGAGGAGGTCGGAGCGGAGCAGCCTGCGTCGGGCCTCAGGCGACGCAACAGGCCTGAATGAACTCACAGCAGGACTTGTGCACTGTACAGAAATGTGACAGATTATAAATATTTATTATCTCCAATGCTTTCATTCCAAAAGGCTGTCTGCACATTATTCATCCAAAAATCATAGAATGCATTCATTAGGAGAGGAAAGAGCTTTTACAGTAAACACACAGGGCTCTGTTTTAGTGTTCCAGTCACACAGACCAGCACCGACTCATGAGGTCAATGAAAGCATCACGTTTTAGCTCAGTGTGCTCTGTGCAGGACGGAGTGTCAGTCAGATAGGGGTGAAAGTGTAACGTTATGCTGAAGGCAATATGCAAAGAAAACAAGATGAAGTCTCAACAGGACGTTAAAAAAAGTCCTTGTCATAGATTCTCAAAATTTGTGGAGCTCTATTGATTTAGAGCATGGGTGTCAAACTCAAATACACAGTGGGCCAATATATATATATATATATATATATATATATATATATATAAAAATAAAAGGGACTAAGTCGTGGGCACAACTCAATATTTATTGAAAAATTGACTACAATCTGAAAACAAACGGACAATCTGAAACAAGCAAAGCTTAACATTATGAACACATGAGAAAACACATTTCAGATAGAAGACACATTGGTGGCGTTCGGTTGTTCATTTTATTTCAGTCCATAAGCTGTTTTCCATCTTTTGTCTGACTATTTTTTGTGAGGGATGGCTGAAATTTTCCTGAGGTGACAATATGAGGCTGCTAATGAATGAAGGGGGAGGGGACACTCGCAGGTCTTCATTGATGTACCAACGCACCAGCAGAGCATTCTGGGATATGTTGTATTAGCAGTGCATGCACTAGATATCGGTGGGCCAGCTCTATTAAACACCTGATATTGTCTCGTATGCCAAATATAATTCCACTGTGGGCCAGATTTGGCCCGCCGGCCTGAGTTTGACACCTGTGATTTAGAGCAGGGGTGTCCAGTCCTGGTCCTTGAGGGCCACAATCCTGCATGTTCTAGATGTTTCCCTCTTCCAGGGCACCTGATTCAAATGATCAGCTCATCATCAAGTGCTGATGACGATCCTGATCATTTGAATCAGGTGTGTTGGAAGAAGAAAACATCTAAAACATGCAGGACTGTGGCCCTCGAGGACCAGGACTGGACACCCTGGATTTAGAGCTTTGGTCATAGTGGGGGTGGATCACATTTTCTATCTTTCACAAAGAAATCCACAAATGAATCCACTTCAAAATCATAGAAATAATGTACCCAAGACCTTGAGAGTCTACATGTGTTTAGGTTTTCATCGGTGTCACAGTGTTCAGTGCACCCATGGCTACGCTGGAAACAGGAACTCCTAGTAACACGTCCCAGTTTGCACAAGTTTGTACCCAAAAGAAAAATATATGAACAACACCTCACTGACTGACTTCATGGCCGCTGTCCTGAACTACATGTACCGTCCAAATCAAATAAGACTGAATTATAGCAGTGAAAGAACCATTCATGTTGTTATTTTATATTGCACAATCAATATTAAAGCTTAAATCCCCTCTCTAGGCATTAATTAATCCCCTATTATCCCATCTCTATTCATAAATATTACACATTAGATGGAACTCTGCACCATTGCTTCATTAGAATGCCTTGACCATGAAGCCCCGCCTCATGGTGCAGACTATAATACATCCTGTATTAAAGAAAACACCATATGGACATGTTAACAAGGTGACAAACGGGGTTTTCATTGGAGGGGGTCTTTAAAACGGGTGTTACTGGAGTGTTGGAGGCCCGTAGCCAAACAGGAAGTCCCATTCTTAAGGATTCTGTTGTAACATGTGGGTCCATAGTAACCATGTGCTGAACGCTGACCAGAACAGAAGATAAGAACAACACCTTCACTTCCATCTCCACATTGCATCACCTCACCGAAAGCTCTGCTGGAACATGTATGCATGGTGTGCTGTATGCTTCACACTCTGGCGACACCATCTGTTGTCATCAATAACAGTTTATTAGTAGGGAGCTGGAGACAGAGCTTTGGGATGTGAGTTTGGAGCATCCCGACACAGCACTCCTTCTTCTAGTCTGCAGACATGAAAGTAGAGCCAACGATGTCCTTCACTCTTCTGTTGTCCTTTTATAACACTATTATTAACTTTTTTGTTTGCCATTGGTTTCATTTTGCGCCTACTTGAAGCCAAACCTTCACACGGGCGACTGCTTCCTGTCTGTTTCTGCCTTTAACCTTCCTGTGGATGCCAACGGCTGCATTCAGGTGCTCGTCCAACATGTCTGCTGTTGTCCTCATCGTTTCTCCGTGATACATCCTGCAGGACATGAGAGTTTTTAAAAGTCTGGGCTTTTGCATCCTAACGCTGCGCCGTCCTGTGCTGCCACCCTCAGGTAGCTGTTGGAATAGCAAGAATCCAACCAGTGCCAGGTGTGATGATGTAACTACTCTGTGGAGCCTCACTATGAAAAATGTTCCTTTTCTATTTTGAATATCTGTTAAACGGACTGACACGAATGCTGCTGCTGGATGTGTTTAGACTGCAGAATATAATATATCGTGGAACTCTGGCTCGTGGCATGTTTAGACGTCACAACATAACCGCATGTTTTGCATTTTTTTAGCTTTTTTTTTGCGTGTGTGTGCGACCGCATAACATTTAAATTAGTTTATTCAAGAGGAGGACTGACAATCATTTGATCAGCTACAAACACAACACTTTTCCTTCCTGTTTTTTTTTAATTTGTTGAGTTTTTTTGGAGGTTTTTATAGTTAGATGCTGACTTTGCCTTATATTTCAGTTCTGTATTTGAAGTTGTGATGGTGAGAGGTCACTGTGACGAGGCTTTCAGGTACCATCAGGTGGCTCCTCTAGATTTCCAAAAACACGGAACTAGTTTTAGTCCAGATTTAAAAAGAAGAAATGTCAGTTAGTACATTTATGACTGCGATTGATTAACAGCACATTGATGTGAGTCTCAGTATCTACGACTTCTCTACATCCACGTCTGATTCACACAAAGCTGTCGTTTCATTGAACTTTGTGACACGAGCCCAAATGTCGATGTAGTAAAATGTTGTAAAAATAACACTGACAATAACTGTAATTATACATGAAGCCAAATTAGATGCCACTGTAATATAGCATTTCTTTGTGAGCTGATGTAAAACCAAAGCATGAGTTCTTATTGCTGTCCACTGATCATTGCCTTATTTAGGAAGAAAGGTTCGATCTACAAACATGGGCTTTTTGCTTCAGCCTCATATTTTCACTCTTCACTCCTGACGTCACACATTCTGCTTATTTCCGCAACTTGGAGAAATTTGCCTTAATTTGTCTTTATTTGATAGTTGTTTTGTACCGTTTATTTCCCTTTATGCATATTTACACGTCTGTGCTGAATGTTGTGTGTCATGTGGCTGCTGAGTAAAAACTGACTCAGTTTGTCTCAGTAGAAAATAAAACCCCCCAAAAATGATGCTGTTGGTCTGCATGACTTTATGACTCAAGCTTCAGTCAGAGTTTTGCTGTGTATGTTTACACCTTTTTGTTAATATTATATTTTATAATACTATGTAATACAGTCGTGACTCGATAATCCAACACTAAATGTAAAACTTCTTTTATGTCAGATATCAAGGATGTCGGATTGTCAAGACGGAGGTCGAGATACAAGGAGGGCTTGATGCTGGAAGGCTCATTAGTTGTTAATATTCATTGTTTATAGTTGTTATAATAACTAGTGTATTGTTAGAACACTACGCATCACTGGATTTCACACCTAACTGACCAGTGTGCTTGTGCACATTCCGGCCACTTCCACCCCGGGGCAGCGCTCCAACGGGCTGGAAGTGGTCGGAAAACACAGGCAGTACTTGGCTGCTGATGCTAGTTTAGTTAGTGGTCACAGTTCTGTTGGTGGTGGGGGAGTGGCAGATACGCTCCACCGTTACCATCCGTGTTTACTTCCATAAACACTGAGCACGTTCACTGCGTGTGACGTCGTCGTGTCCTCTTCTGCGCATGCGGGACACTTTTGGGTCGTATGAAGTTCACACAGCAGATCACATACAAGTCACATTTAACTGGAAATGTGAACAAACTCACAAAAAATCTGATTTCACAAAAAAATCCAGATTGAGCATTAAGTCTGAACGTAGCCAATCTGTGGGATTGTTCAGTCAGATAATACACCGTTATCCTTATTTATGACATAAAATGTCATGTCGGAGTCAGAATCCAAGGCTGTCGGTATGTTAAGGCTGTTATTCATGGGTTCTGTCAGATAGCAAGGTTTTGGATTGTTAAGGGTCGGATTATCAAGTCACAGCTGTATTTATGAAACATGTATGAAAGAGAGACTTTCTGAAGCATTATGAAAGAACTCGCAGAGCCTTGAGTAGTTTTAAGGTGGTGGATCAGCACTCAGCTGTTCTTAGGTATCATGACTCACAACGTTGACGGCGTGTCTTGTTACTATACAATTAAAACAGCCTCAAAAGTACTTTTAAATACAGGAAAGAAAAGAAAAACTCGAGATAAGCCTAAGATCCTACAGCATCATTCAAATTCAAAAATGTTACACTGGTTTAAATATGAAGGTTAAAAACCTACAGTACAGTACACTACATATGGATGTTAAGAAACTCTAATCCAATTTCCTCCTAACGCAGCACAAACACTTCTGTCTTTAAACGCCACATAGCAAACAATCAGCAGGACGGGGAGCAATAAGGAGGCAGTGGAAGCAGCAACATTAGTAATTATCTGGAGTCGTGTTTCTGCCCAACTGTTGGATGAAAATCAAGTATTTGTTTCTGTATAGCTCTGTCCAGCTTTCCGCCAACTCCCGAGAGAAATGTCTGACTGTTGCTGCTAAATCTAAATGTGCCAATATGCTCACACAAGCTAAGTGTTTGCTTTAGTAGCAGGAGAAAAGAAAAAAAAAGGCGGGAAACCTGTGACTCTAAAGTGATTCTAAATGCCTCCATCTGGCTGCTGCAGGTTCAGCGGCCTGTTATCTAGAGCTAATAACTGATTAATTTCTACCCAATAAATTGATGACCATCTATTATGATAAATGTTTGCTTTGA